TAATATAATTTAATTAGAAACATATATGTTTCCGTTTCTATTTCTTTACAGATTATACTCCTAGTCCGGAATACATTTAAAGATCTGTTACTTGCTGTTGAAGGAACTATAATAATGAGCGAAAATTTAAGAGACGCTCTTGATAATATTTTTAATGCACGCGTACCAACTGTGTTCAAACGAGGCAGTTGGGTTTCTTCTAGCCTGGGTTTCTGGTTTACTGAGCTTATCGATCGTCATACTCAATTTTACGGTTGGTGTTTTGGATCGCGACCTGTTGTATTTTGGATGTCTGGATTTTTTAATCCTCAAGGATTTCTTACTGCTATGCGACAAGAAGTTGCTCGGGCGCATCAAGGATGGGCCTTAGACCAGGTGACGATGCATAACGATGCCCTTAAAGTAGGTCCAGAAGAGTGTAAGAAACCACCGAAAGAGGGAGTTTTTGTTCATGGTTTATATGTAGATGGTGCTGGCTGGGACAGACGAACATCACGTCTGGTGGAGTCAACCAACAAAGTCTTATTTACTCTTATGCCAGTTGTTCATATCTATGCTATATACTCAACAGCTGCTAAGAACCCTAAACTTTACACGTGCCCGGTCTATAAAAAGATAAATCGTACTGATCTGAACTATATATGTGCATTATGGCTTCAATCCAATAAGCCTCCAGACCATTGGGTCCTTCGAGGTGTTGCTCTTTTATGTGATGTTAAATAAATCCATTTACCTTATTAATGTTAAATTTTAGTAAAATTAATATACAAATTATTAAGTATATCCTAACTAATTTAAATGTGTTCAAATCATTTTTTTTTAATATAAAGTTTTATTAAAAATGTACGTTATTAATTTAGTTACTATAAAAAATTTGAATTTAAATGCTGTTGAGCTATAGAGATTTTTCGAATATCTTTAAGTTATTAAACGATTGAATTTACTTAATGATTAGTTTATTAGCGAATATTAAAGTTTACAGAGTTTATGTGATAGACGCGAGCAAGCGACTAGGCTGTCGTGCTGTCCGCTACTATGT